CTCTGTTCTGCACCTATTTCTGCATGCCTTCTCCAAGATCATCTCTATAGCTTCATCTGCTAAGACATGAATGACTGACAACAATATTTGCTGATCAAAGACAAGGTACAACTGACATCTAGGATAGATCAGGACAAAAGCACTCCTGGTTACAGCTACCACTTGTTCTTACAGTTGTACACTGGTTCTGTTTCAGGAAGTATAGTTACCAATAACTACAAGTGATATACATTTATATACTGTATATTTCCATTTTTTTTAATTGAACAGGAGGAAACTATTACCTAATACAATTACACGTCTAGCAATGGCATCAATTGTATGATGGATGGCTTAATTCACTGATCTAAGTCCCCATCTGGAAGTATCCATTTATTCTTAGATGACACATGTTCTAGAATGTATGTTCTAGAATACACTGTATGTTCTAGAATACAGTTCCTAGATTGCAGGAATCCTATTAAAAGCCTGCTAGAGAAAAAAATCTATATATTCAGCATATTTATTTATTATACGTTTACTTCCTATTGCATACATTCAAGTTGGATTACTAAAGTTGAACAACAAAATCCATAAAATTAATCCACATTATAAGCCACTTACAACTAAAAAAACAAAAACAAAAAAGAATGGCTGCTCAACTGCCTTGTCACTCACCAAGCATAAACTTAAATAGAATAACTTTTAAAGACTTCTGAAAGATCAATACAGTGGAAAATGCTTTATCTTAGGAAATAGGGTGTTGCAAATCATCGGGGAAGCAATAGAAAAGTTCTGCCTTCAGATTCTCAATAACTTTTATTTATCATAATGATAAGGTAGCTAAAATCTGATTGAGAAGAAGGTTCCATGGGGTTACAGGCAGGGGTGGGCTGCTGGGGATTTGCAGGGGTTTGGGAGAGCCCCTAGTTAAGATTTTGTGCAGTTCAAAGAACCCCCAAATCCATCTCCTGGCTGGCTCTGCCCACCCTGTCCCCCACTCCCCTCCCAAGAGTTCCCACGTGGCCCGTTTTGGATGCAAGTAAGTGCAGGACATGCGCGGAGGCTTGGGAAGGATAAAAACAGGCCTCCCAGAGGCTCAAGGAAAGGCTCCGGAGCCTGGGGAGGGCAAAATGCCCCCCCACCATGGTGTAGGAGGCTGACTCGGCCGTGGCCATGGTGGGCATTTCCTAAAATTTTTGAAGGAACTGCTTTTTAAGTCAGAACCAATATTTTGAATTAGTCTTACAAATTTATTGGCAAGCACTAATGATGATCATAACACTGGCATTAGGTTGCTAAAAGTGTTCATACCTCTTAACAGAGCTGTGTTGTTTTTATTTTGGACCAAATGTAGTTTCCAGGTTAACTTCAAATACAGACCTAAATAGAGTGTGGGTTACATTACTCTAAATATTCAGAAATGAAAAAGGAACTATTATTGTCTGATTCAGAAAAGAGCATAATTGATGCATCAGCAAAAAGTGCACTACTGTAATGTTGAGGTTACCCTGGTTTCACTTGCTCCTCAAACATAAGATGTGACTCCAAAACAGCTCCATAATCATGGACCTGCTCATTCAGGTGAAATACAACCCTACCTAGAACATTAGAATTGAAGAGTTCAAAGGGATACCTTTTAGAATTGAATACTGGTGAGGGGTCAATAAGACCAGGAATGTCTCACCTTCTCCATTCAGGTTGACCAATTAATGCAAGTTTGATTTCAGGACCAGGTCTGAATCCTGAATGGAAAAGGACATAGGTAATCAATTTCATCTAAGATGTTCCCTAAATTGACTGTATCAGATGATGGCTTCTTCAACAGAACTGCATTGTCACTTCTTTCAAGATGAATGGTACCTGTATCTATCTTTCAAAGAGCTAGTGATCACCACCAAATGACACATGAAACCTATCCACAGGTGGCAGAACTCAAAGAGCAGAAAGCTTGTCCCTCTGACTCTACAAATCAGTCCAAAACTAAATGATCCCAGGTAATGTGAATATAATAACTGATGTCTACACTTCGTTATTTCATCCCTTTTTCAAATCATCATATTGCAGGTGGTTAATGGGTATATGTGTTGCAGCAACCTAAGATAATATTATTTTATAAATATTAAATTATAATTTTAATTGTTAAAATTAAATAATTGTAAAGACATCATATAATCTCTAAAAAGATAATTCAAGCAGGTGTTTGTTTGTCTATTCTTCCAGGGTCATCTTTTCATAGTTATCTAATGCCTCATTAGAATTACATGTATTTATGAAAATCAAGAAAAATATCTGTTTTCACTGTTACATTGCTAAACAACCAATAAATAACACATTATTAAATAAAACACATTAAAATTTGCTCTTTTAGAAATAGTTTAATTTTAATAATCAGAATGTTTAGGGATGTAATTCTCATTCAACAAGTTTACCTTTCTGTTGGATGGAAATCATAACAATTTCTTTATCCATATTCAAGTTTAGAAATGTACTGTTAGAGTAGAAATATATGGCAACCTTCAGTATTTTTTTAAAAAAACCCAAAGCATTTTAAACGTTTTAGAGGACATTAAGCAAAGCAGAATGTTCAGTCTACCTGAATATTCCTACATTTAAGTATTTCATTTAAACATGAGGCCAACATGGACGCTCAAATTTTGACATTTCCTGTGGGATGAAATTTCCCTTTATGGAACAACTTTAATATTCTGCATATATCATATTGGAAATTGCCAGAGATTTCTTGCTTACTATCTTTTTTTTCTTTTTTCTTTTTGAAAAGGAATGTCCCTCTGGCATCACAGAAAGCTTGTTAAGAAATATTTCTTGTATCCACATCATTTAGCATGTACTGAGTCATATATCAAAATTGTAATCATTTTTATTAAATATCTCCTGGCTAGATATTTGTATATGCTGGAAACATTTAAAATGTAAGGGCTAAGATACTTCTTTACAACACTAATAATAGAACAAGAAACATCTCTTGATGGTAGAGTAAAACTGAGAAACAAAAAAACTAACATGATGGACATCAGAGTTGGGCAATATGTAGGTTACAAGAAGTCTTTGGAGATAAGGAATTTTTTTTAAAAAAAAATCACAAGTCTCTGTATATTCTGAATGCCACAATTACCAAAAATGAGCATAACTATATTTAACATAGCTATGAAATGTGTGCTTCCATAGTTAACACACAATGGAAAATGTGCTCTAGATTCTGGCCTTGCCATCCTGCAGTGTGGCTGAATAACTGTCGGAATGGGAAGTGGGGATAAAATGGTATCCCAATGTGGAATCACTCCAGGGAGGAAACATCTTACTCCAGACTAGGAAAGCCTTTCTCTGCTTGTTCCCAAGGAAATGCAACCAATCTGGTGAGATTCTTTTAATATTGGTGATGAACAAAGAGGTAACTACTTTGGCCTATTCACATAGTGTTCTGGTTCCTTTTGCCTGACATTCAAGTGATGTCACTACTGTATTGCTTTATCTTTTGCAGATCTAGATTATTTTAAGAAAAAAGTATGTCTTCCCCAATTAGAAAAGACAAGTCAGGTAATGGTCCTCTCCTATGTACATACCAACAGGTTTTTGAAAGAGCTTCTCCTGTAACACTTCTCTGTAAACTGGGGAAATTCCTATTCATGGTTCTTCGGCTATTCGTTCAATTACTATGTTATGTAGGAGTTTTAAAATTAATACCAAATAATTGCATACAGTAAGCTAATAGGAACTACAGTACTGCACATACTTCAGCCACATACGATCATGTGTTCTCAACACCTGGCACTGGTTAACAGACTAGCCAACACATTTGGCATCAGATGTATGTTCCAGATATATTCAAGGGTAGGCCTATATAAAATTTACTGCTGTAGCCAAGATGGGATGCAACCAAGGTGCAGACAACTGTTGCCTATCTGACTAGTTCAGAAAGAGTAGTGCCAAATACACAAGTGTAGTTATCCTTATCACAATCATAAGTTGAAAACCCAGGGACAGCTGAAGATCAGAGACAGCTCCCAAACTATAGACAAGTTATTTTGGAAAGAGTGTAGTTTAATTGAAAACTGGCCTCAGAACAAGATTTCTATTCATATTTGGATTTCATGTCATCCCATTTCTGAAATAAGATAGTGTGGAAGAATAGAGTTTTCTGCCACTGGTATACCAATAACAATCCACTCCAAAATTCTGAATGACCTTTGTCGCTGGCTTCATATAAATATTAAACAACAAGTGATAAAAGATTGAATCCTAAGACATCATGGATCAATGACATAGATCAGGGGTGTCAAACTCATGGCCCAAGGGCTGGATGCATCACATTCTAGACACACCCACCCCTAGTTTAGCGAACGGGGGGAAGTCACAATACATCACATGATGACAGTGTGACACCATGAGTTTGACACCCCTGGCCTAGATGTTGAACAGGAGGCCCCAGTCAGTTTCTGGATATGGACTAAAAGAAAGGCATGCAATCAAGATCATTCCAACCAGCCAACTCAAAAGGTCAGGTTTGCAGAATATCACTGATTGGGCCAAGAGAATCCACAGGCCACATTTTCCCTATTCTAGAATTGCTCAAGACAACCAAAGGAATCATAGCATCTCAGCTGAAAGCATAATTAAAATAAGTTCAGGTAATCAACATTATCCAACTGTATCTAGAGTTACAAGACTAAGAATTACAAGACAAAGTAGCATTATTCATTTGTAAAGATGTAGTTACTTTGATAGCAGATAATTGTCAGATAAATCCAAACTGCTAAACATCTTCAGAGTTTACTTCTTTCCACCATGAGAAATGTCCATTTATACATTTCTTCCCTTGTCATCAGAAGAAGTCTACTTATTTCACTTCCTATATAGTTTCTTAATCAAACTGAAATTTGTTCCATCCCATGTACCCATCTATAAGTAATTTTAAAAAGGAAGAAGTACAAGAAATCTATTTTCTCAAATTTGTAAATATTCCCCAAAGTTCATATGCACCAACAATACAATCTACTTACAGTTATGGCAGGTTGTTCCAGTGTAACCAGTTTCATTACAATCACAGAAGAATGTTGTCCAAGATTGGGAACATTTTCCTCCATGTTCACAGTAGTTTGGTAAACATCTAATTGGGAAAACACCAATAAAACAGGGAATTTTAGTTTAAAGCTGAATACAGATGGGGAAAACAAATAACCTTTTTTTTTTACTTTAAACTTCTCTAAACTTCTATTTTTGGCATAATATAGGAAATGGGGAAAAATCACCTTAACTCTATTCTTAGCTTAAAACAAATACTTCCAGAAAAACAGCTTGCAGGGAACAGATATAATTCAGAAGGGAGCCCAAATTGATACTAAAATACAGGGCAATGGTTTGAGAGTAGAGAGCTACTTTTCTTCAGTATCCAAGCAACAATAATGCATATTTTATTCTATTTTCAGATAAGAGAAATGGATACCAGGTTTTTCTTTTTAATATTACTTTTTTCAATTCTCACTGTAATTTCAATTGATCATATCAGCATCTAGCTATATTTACTTGCTCTGCACAAACACAAATGGATTTCTCTTGCTAATTTAAAACTAATACTATACGTTCCTGAAATATACATGGTGAGAATTTTGTTCCAGTTATTTTCTGGTAAGAATTTGAAACACAAAGTGAACATGTCCATAGCCATATGAGACAATAAAAAGTATGCTTGTAAGTGTGCTCTGTCTACATAGCCACTCCCTACTCAGTAACAAGGCTAGAACATTTGGGGTGTCCAATACTTTAAGATTCATAATTGATATATTTATCAGCTGGCAGGAAAAATATCCATCAATTGCTCCCCATAATGTAGTGAAGACTGTAGAGGGAAGTAAGTCTTGACAAAATGCCTTCTATCAGAACCTTTCTAGTTTACTTTAGATTGGTCTGTTCTACAATTTTAGTGTTAATATTATTGAAGGAGCTAAACTACATCCAAACGATTTTCAATAGCAACTGTGGTGCTGTTATTGCTAAAGCAAACAGATGCCTTCCAGCTCTAGCAACCTTCTGTAATCTGATCTAGAACTTGCAAAACTCCTGGCCTTCTACTTTCTCTAGTAATACAGAGAGGTTATTTCTCTAGAAGCCTTGTTTTTTTTAGTAAATAATGGAGTAGATCAGAATTTATCTAAGCCTTTAGAGATATCCTGGTTTATCGGTGTTTCTAGCAATGTTGATCCTGCAGCTCTTCTCCTGGTGTCATGCCAGGAAGCAGCAAAAGCTGAAATAACCATGAAGCAAAGTTGGCAGCAACTGGAGAGGAGAGGATATGCCCACAGAAGCTGAAAGCAGCCAATAGGAACTGCTGCATTATCACATGGTCACAGCCATTTCATAAAAAGTGCAAGGCATGTATTGAGAGATTTAAAAAACACACACATCAGAGCTGGTCAAGTAACTTTGGTTGTGGGCAATAGATAGAGGAAAGCTGGAAATGTCCTTCAAGGATGGTTAGACATATATGTTCAAACCAAAGTTAGGGGAAAGTTTAGATATGCTCTCAGGGATTTATTTATTTTTAATACACGTGAGGGTTATTTTTGAGGCTCTTTTTCATGCATTCCGTTTCCCAGGATTGAGTTGTCTTTTATTGTTCTTTAACTGACCATTCATAATTTTCTGTATAATCATATAGACAAGGTACTCAGGTCCAGTACACCTAAATGAAATTTTACTTTACCTTTTTTATAAAAAAAATAGCTGTTAAAACAAACATCACTTTTACATCAAACTTGTACGAGGAATAAAGTAGTCTTAGCTTTTATTCCGAGTACGGGCTAATAAACTCCTATGGAAGCCAAGTCCATAAAGGAACAAATTAGGAGCAAACATTGTCAGTATGGTAGAACCTGAATTCCTTAATTATATTGCCTAGTGTTAGATTCTGCAATCTTCCATTAACTCCTAATCCTGAGAATTTATTAGATTTGTTCAGTATACCTCAATGAAATTTTAAGTTATCTTTTATTAAGACAATGGCTGTTAATACACAATTACAAATGTCTTTGGCAGCTCTTTGCTTTCAAATTGAGGGTAATAAAGTTCAGTTTTATGTTCTTTATTTTTGAAGAGATGTTAACACTTCACTTACATTTCAAGTTGCAAAATACCTTTACCAAGCCATACAATTGTACATTTGGCTTGGATGTGCTACATTTTTTTTTTCATGAAAATTGTTTTGGTAATGAGTTTTCTGTAGAAATCTACTTTTATTTTTCTTATCTATAATGCTGATTAAAGACTATAATAAAAAAATAACACTACTAATAGGAAAATAACAGATTCATAAATTGCATCATAAATCATAAATATGGAAGGTGGGAAAAAGCAGCAACAACACAATCCACTCCTATTTCAGGATATAAAGGAAAGATATACAGATGCACACACACGTACCTAAATTATGGCTCTCATCTTCCCCTTTTACATCCAATCCTAATAAAAAATTGTGAAGAAGCACTGTTTGTCAGACTCAAAAACAATGGGCCGAATGAACCAGTGGCTGGTGCTACAGCTTGTTCTTGAAATGAAAGCTTTAAATGATGTGGTAGAATGTAACTTGGAGTCACAGGAGGGAAAAGCTCTTTCCCAGAAAGCAAAGGGACAGCAGAGCTTGGAATGTCTGGAAGGCAGGAAGAGGGTAAAGATGGACTCTCCCTAGCAATTCACAGAGTATAATTAATAGTTATGTAGATAGTTGCTTTAGACTGGCAAGTGTAAGAAAAGGAGTGACAGAACCTGGGAGTGGCATTAAAGGATAAGCTTAGAATCTGTATACAAACAGTCCAACATCCGGCGCCCCCCTTGAATTATATTGATCCTTATCTAACTCCAAGCAGGTGCTGACCATGAGTTGAAAAGATTCCCACACATAGTGTTGTTTTTTAGCAATGAAGCAATTCAACTGTATGTACATATGTGGATCTGATCTTTCACATCTGACACAGAGGGGGTATTCATCAGCTTCTGATCAGTTCTGGAGAACCAGTGGTGGAAATTTTGAGTAATTTGGAGAACCGGCAAATACCACCTCTTACTGGCCCCACCCCTAAAGCAGATTAGTGGAGTGTGGAGGGAATGTGATTTTGCAGTATCCTTCCCCCAGGATTGGGGTGGGAATGAAGATTTTACAATATCTTTCCCCTGGAGGGGGGTGGGAATGAAGATCTTACAGTATCCTTCCCCTGCTACACCCACCAAGCCAAACCACACCCACTAAGCCACGCCCACACAACCAGTAGTAAAAAAAAATGAATCCCATCCCTGGTCTGACAGCATGATTCTGTTTGTAGGCAACCAACAATAAAGAACAAACTTCACATGTTGTTCTTGATTCTTTGGACCTGACAAATGAATGGGTGCCTCTTCTATCTAAAGTGGACTTCTATTCATATCTACTAATTATGGTCCACTAACAATGGTATGCCTGACCTACTTCCTATTCAAATTTACGTGAGATTTGACCCTAAGGGTAAATCCAAACATGCATGAAGATGTATTGACTATAGCCAGCATGCACCATGCCACACTATTTCTTTTCAGTGCACTGAAAAGAAGCACTGCCTGAATTTCAAGGAATGGAAATTTAATCTGTCTCCCAATGTGCAAAATGTGAGGGTCTCGCCAATGAATACTTTGAGTAAAACCTGAAAGGCTGTGGGTTTGGTGCCTGAAGCCACCCATAGACTTCACACAATTAGGACTCAGTTAACATTGCACATATATTGCCTGCTACCTTCAAATATGCAGTAACTTAGAGTGATGCCAAAAATAATAAAAATACTATGTAAATTGTTGTACGTGAAGTATTATTATTTTTTCTTTATAATATTTTTAGATTCTATTTAGGGCAAAGACTATCCCAAGGCAGGATTCACATATAAAATCGCTATATATATAATATAAATAACAAAAAAGAATAATAAAACATTAATGAACCCAATAATGGCTAAAACCAGAAATTAAAAACACTTGTTCCCGATGCAAAAATCAGACCCAATTTCAGAGGAACAAAACGGGACACGTGAAAAATAAAAACCAATTCAGAATAAGGCTTCAAGAAATAAATAAGTAGTCCTGCGGGGTTTTCTTTAAAGTTGGCTATGATATGAAGAAAACAAAAATGCTGGCAAAAAAAATATTATTTCAAATGTACTTTCTCTTTTTCCTCTCTTGAACATCTTTTGTAAAAGCATATAGTACAGAATAGATGCTGCTTCACTCTGTTATTTCTTCCCTTCGCTTTACTTTGTTTTAGTGATGGCATCCAGTTGAATGGAGATTCTCAGTCACCCAAGTAAGTCATGGTTGTCCTAAAGGCACTTTTTCAAAAGGCAAATGGACTTTGTTTCTCCTTCAAGATGTTTCCCTTCTCATCCAAGAAGCCTCTTCAGAACTGAAGAAGCTTCTTGGATGAGAAGCTAAACATCCTCAAGGAGAAGCAAAGTCCAGTTGCTTTTTGAAAAATCACCTTTGGGATTCAGATGGATTTTATGACAATTTGGAAGACTCTCTTCCACTCATTCTGTTAATGCCCTGCTTTGTACCTAGAATTTGGAACTTCATAGGGTAGCTGTTAAGAAATCAAAGAAAAGGAACAAAAATATAAATAAGTGTCTTTCAATTTTCTTTTACAGCAGTTAAAGTATAAATATACAGTTACTTAACCTATTGCTCTATGGCTATAGAATTGTTTACATTTTCTGTATAAACTATTATTTTTGTTCTAATCCTCAAAAACTTATATCATGACTTCATTTTTTCCATTTCCCATAAAAAAAAATCTATAAAAGTTTCCAATCAAACTGTCCTGTCTCTAAATGAAATGCATATTTTTGTATGTATATATGTATGTATGCATGCATGCATGCATGTATGTATTCTGTCATGGTTAGGTGGTGTCCCTTTGAGATCTGTATGCAACAAAATTTCAATTTAATGTATGCTGAATAGTGTACAAAGTGACAATAAATTCTATTCTATTCTATTCTATTCTATTCTATTCTATTCTATTCCATTCCAACCTAACTAACCTAACCTAACCTAACCTAACCTAACCTAACAATTTGGCCATTTCAACACATTCAC